TGGAATTCTTGCGATATTGTTTGAATTACGACGCGCGAGATATCTCTCGTCCGTAACAGCGAAGAAATTAATACCCACGGAGAGGTCGCAAGATCTCTCGTCTTCTTTTTTTCCCTCGAATAATTAATCGCTAGATTCAAACGTGCGTTCGAGGATATGTAACGAGGATCTCGAGTGGCTCTCGAGCTCCCCTGCGCCCGGTACAGAGGAGATTAGCGCGCGTGCGAGAGTGAATTTTTCCAGAGTGTTCAGCTGACACTCGAGGATCCTTTTATCCTCGTTATCCTCGCTACGTTGCACGCATCTTCGCAGCATTTCCACCTCGGACTCGCTACCACGTACGTTACTGATTTTCTACGGGGGGAGGAGGGTTGTCTCACCTTCTGACAGAAGCCACGTCCCCGCGTTCCACCGCGAGAAGATATTTCTTCTCCTGATAGGACAGACTGGCCATCTCCTGGTGCGGCCTCACCACGTTCTCCTCCTCTATCATGCCGTGGATACTGTGCCTCTGAAACCGTCGTAACCTTTTGTTATACAGCCGTGTCCGCGTTTCGAGAAAAATGAAGCAGCCCTTTCGCTTCGTTCCACCTGCCGCGAAACGATTCATCTCGCGGGACAGGATTAATCAAAACACGCCCGCTGTCCGTGAACGTGTGAACACTTTCCTTTTTTTCGTCTCTGTTCCAGCCTGCGTCGCACCCTTCTTTCTCCCGGGGGATTTGCAAGATCCACAAAGAGCGCCAGAGAAGTAACCGGGCTCGTGTCTGAATTAGAGACGCGCAGCTTTAATTTCAAAAAAAAAATTACAGATCGACTCGCTCGTTGTAAACACAGATCTGTCACTGATCTTTTTCTTCTAACGCTAGATAATATATAATATTCGTAGCGAAGGAATTAAAGTGCAAGAAACAGTTGATAATAAACGTTAAAGAGCACAAGCTTCTGTCAATAGATTTTATTAAAACTCGAGCATCTAAAAATACACTGTTGTAAATATATAAAATTTCCAGAGAAAATTACGAACTGGTCATTTTGACCATTTTGGTAGTTAAAACGTACCTCCGTTATCTGGCCACCGTTTCTACGCTGCTCACTGTGCTTTGGTAGAAAGAATTCTTACGTTTTTGTTGTTGCTTACAAGCTTCTGATTCCTTCATGACAGATATTTAATATAAATGCGTCATTCGGATCTATCTCACGAATCTTACGGAATCTTTTTCTTTAAAAACAAAGTAAAGACTTTCCTCTTGGTAGTTAAAATGTTATCTGATCACCGTTTTACGCTGCTCGTTGTACTTTATTAGAAAGTGTACAGCATAAAGCATAAATTCTTACATTTTGTTTGCTTGTAAAGTTTGCGATTCCTTTATTTACAGGAATTTAACATAAATGCGCCTTTTAGATATCTCACGGATTTTCCTCTCTTTAGATCCAGGATTTACAAGAAAAATTAAACTCGAGTAGTACGAGTGTACTTGTATATGCTAAGGATTTCTAACGTAGCTAACGAAATTATTAAAGACTTTGATCTCTATCCTTTTCAATGGCTCCGAATTTCAGATTAAACATAAAAAAAGGCGTCGTCTTTCGCAAATACATTTACATTTTCCTTACGTTTCCTTTACATTTATATTCTCACCGCTCTTGCATTTGTTATTTATGTTTCCTTTCTCAATGGATCTTCCCGTCGGACAAGCAAACAAATAAAAAAACTTTTAGCCGAAGATTCATTTCGCATCTCGCGCATTTTAACTCGTCTTCAAACTTCCCGCAAATGCATGAAAATCCGCAGTCTGCCCGCTTGACTTTTCTCTGCTCGAGAGACGTCCCACCGCTATACACTATATTTCAATATTTTTATATTTCCCGATACAGCATCATACACCGCGCGTATCTGCTTCTGATATATTATTCAGTGGAGCTTCTTAGATTCCCGGCCGATCTCTCCGGAATTCTCGCAAAGGGGAAATCACCGATTTTTCGCGAGGCTCGGAGAATGGCCGGGGTTATTGATCGACGAACGAAGCTCTGATGAAAGATGGATGAAATTAGAATGATAAATGTATCGGCAACGTGCATACACGTCGCTCGAGCGAAAGGCGCGCGAATTAAGGCCGACGCGGGACGAGTCGCGATTTAAAGCGACACTATGGAACGTCTCGATACAAAGGGAAAGCAAACATAACGGTATGACACAAGCTGGACACGAGTAGAGTCGAGCGTGTTGTCTTTGGGAGAATTTCCGCCAACCTCGCCAACGTTTTCAATCCTAAAACTCGATACTCTCGAGAGGTGAAACCGTTGACTGAGTTCACGAAGTTTTTCCCTTAGAAGAGCGTTGAAGGATCACGGCTGGTTCTCTCTCAACTCAACTTCGTTTTCAGGGATTTCACTCTATTTTCAAAGTGTATTTTCTTGTGCATTTTTTTTTTTTTTTCTTTTTTGAGGGAAAATATTTATCGCATGGGAATGAGGCTGTGACTGGCAGAGCAATGAAGAAACGAAACGATGTTTATGCTGGACTATTGGCGATTGAGTAACGATTCGCAGCATGCACAGGGCAGATTTGGCATCCACGCGTGGCGCGTGTCGATCGTCTTGCGAAACTTCTCACTGAGTAAACAGTTCTCAGTTTTTCCCAAGTGTACACATTTGCGAGGTAATTTTTATTACGTCGATTTGAAACGGGATAACGATCCCTGCGCGAGGAACCTGTTCGCAGTGAAAAGCACGACTGCACGAATGGAAAATTACCGATGACTCGAACTGATATAAGTTCTTTGACTATCGTGAGTTTGTTCCGTTCGAAAGTGATGTGGAAAAATGAGGATACTTTGGTTTTGAAAGTTGTCGAAATTCAAATTTCTCATAACTAGATCTATTCTCAATTCGAAGATTGAACTCTGCCCTCTGCAACAACTCCTTAAAACTTGTTGTACGATTTTTCTTTTGTCATTTTATCGAACGATGAATTAAGCGACAAAAATTCAAAAAATCCTAACATTTTGTCATCTGAATGTAACAAAAATGGTAAAAAAAAAAAAAATTGTACAAGTTTCAAAGGTCCTTCATTTTCTCACTCGCTACACAATGTAAAATCATCTCCATAAAAAAAATAAATAAATAAATAAATTCATAATTGTCAAAGTAGAAGCTTCACGCTTTAAAACGAGACCAATTATTTTGTATTGAAAATTAGATATTGGCTATATTGTAGGTAATAAATTTGTAAATATATCATTTTGAATTTATTAATTAATTTTGTTCTAAGCATATAAAATAGATTATTATACACACGTATATTAATGTAAATCATCGACAATTTTTCATTGATGTGTATATTCCAACATTCTCATACTTGACTCATATTGACAAAAAAAAAAAAAAAAAAAAAAAAAAAAAAAAAAAAAAAAAAAAAAAAAA